GTAGTTATAAAACAAACTCTGTTCCGTGAAAAGTTAACATGCATTTATAAAACAAACACTCTGTTTTAAAAACAAACTGTTATACTCAAAACTAAACACAAGTCTGCGAAGAATAAACGTCGGTTTAAACAATAAACGGTGACTCGTCAAATATAAACTATAATCCAAAAAATACACACAAAAAGAGAACAACTAAACGATTTTTGAAAATTAAACGAAAAAATGAAAAAAATACACGGTAAGGGTCCACCAGTGTAAGGACATGCAAGGTTTTGGAGGTGGAGGAAGATCTGAGTATCTGGAGAAAACCACTGACCTGCAGCCAGTGCCTGTCCTAAGCAGGCCATATCATTTTATTGTTGCATTTGACCAAAGGACAAGGTGAGCTTATGCCATACTGTGGCGTCCATCGACTTTTCAACAATTTCTTCAAAAGACTTTTTCTCATAACCGCTGATTGAAATTTAACTAACTTTGACTGGAAGCATCCTTAGGTGGAGGGGATTCAAAATGTACAAATGGAGGGGCCGACCCTCTGGGGGACTTAAGGGCCAGGCCAAGAGGGGGTAATTTGGCCATATTGCTTTAAGCGACTTCTTCTGTGAAACTCGAGGGATGGATAGTAACCATATTTGGCTCAAAGTATTCTCAGGTGGTGGGTATATATATATTTAACCCTTATCCCGCCATTCACTCATGTGTATATATACACACCACTGCTGCGTATACAATTTGTGGTATACCTCCCCACTGCCAAATAAACAACAGCTATATTTATCAAAATTAATTAGCTGATTAAACCAACAATAACTTTTTATCTTTATCGAATCCAAGAAAATATTTATAAAGTGTTTTGTTCAGGAAGACTTCTTCTTTTCGTATTAAAAGTAATTATGGATATCTCGCTTACCTTTCCAAAACTACAGGTTAGAAAAGGTGAGTTTTGTATGTATTTTGTATGTAATAAAGATCATTTACGTCTAATAAACAGTTTATTTATTACCATCACCTGAAAAACAATTCCAAGTTTCATAATCAAAAGTACTTAGTATTCTGACGAAAGAGTCGTCCACATATTGTTGTCAAAAAGAAGATAAGAGAAAAATAAATAGGGTCGCCGTCACCTGGAATATCTTTGTTCAAACCGGGCCGTCCCGTGAATGGGGCATTTAATGGAGGTACGCTGTGTTGTCGTCGTCTTCAGGAATGTCCACGTCTTTATATGATTGATTAAAGTTAATTTCTTGTACGAATTCTGCATCACGAAGTAAATCTTCTGGTCCGAATCCCTAAAAGTCATTGTCTGTTGTTACTGTCAAATATATCGCCGATAATCTGCAGTCGTTCGTCTTCTGTCAGTTTGTCGTCTGCCATTTTTTCGCGCTGTCAACAAAACCTTGAATCTATGCTCTCGAGGTCACGGTGGCTTAGTTTATAAATAAACTGTGGGTATCACTGTGTGGCAGGAGACCAAGGTTCGACTCCTGGTGGGGATAACAGCACAAAAGATTTATGACTCAGTTTGTCTGATTTTGATACTTTTTTGTATCCATTTACTTGTCCATTAATTTCATGAGAATGACAGCTGGCCGGTTAAGTCACTGAGAATATTCACGGTTTGTATTGTGGATGACACTCACCTATGATGTGATGTCTTTACTTGTGTAATGGAATGATCATGAGAGATTAGGACACTCGCCAATGTGGATCCTCCTTGACAGAAATCCATCAGTCATGGTCTGGATCTAGATATCTCTGGTCCCCTGCCTTAGTCTTGCCATATTGATAGTCTCATAGTTTACCTAATAACAGGACAAGTATTTCTGAGAATATCTGGGACCGCCAGGTACCACAATTATAACAAACACAAATTTCACATGGATTAGCTCAATATTTCAATATTTTCAAAACTATCAAAAATATCTGAACTTCAAAAAGGATAGTGGTGTCACCATAGAAAAAGAGTATGATAAGCATATATGTGAAAAAGTAAATAAAGCTTATTCCATTATGGGAGTTCTACTAATAACAATGGAATATATAAACTTTGTGAGTTTCAGGTTGCTATACAACCTGTAAAACGCTTTGAAACAACAGAAAGTGTTCAACTTCCGAGTAAAAAGCAGGGTACATGTACCTTGCCTAAAAGACTTATCCTATACGAAGCAATTAGAGAAACAAAAATTACCAACAATAGCAAGATCCTGTGGTGACATGATAAAGGTCTACAAAGTAATGTCCAGGAAATATGACTGTGAAGTATCCGACATCTTAAAATCAGAGAAGGTTCATCTACACATGGCCACAACTTGAAATTTACAAATTGCATTGAAGATTACTGAGAATATTAGAAAATTTTCATTTACACAGAGAACTGTTGATTTATTGAATAATATTCTGTCCAATGTTGCAAGGAAGCATTTTTTCTTTTACCACACCACCCACATTAGCCATAACAATGCCACTGTTTCCATCCAGACTCTGTATCAATCCAACTTTGAAGTCATAAGTGACAGGACACTGGTATGTTGGGATCCAGACTGTACCATCCAGACATAGTCGAGAAGGAAGCCAATGACTGTTTGGCACTGTGTAGGAAATGTAGGTAAGGCCATGCAGGTCCTAGCAAAGACAACTGTCTAGTTTGGCCATTTCCCTATATATATAAACAGACATTTACCTGTTTGTGTGAAAAATGACCTGAACTATGCTGATGCTGGCTGGGTCATAGCTATAGATAACTTGAGCAATGAGTGACTCAGAGACTCCGAACTGCAATCATCTGGCTGCCAATATGGTAAAGGGTGGTGTCTTTTGTACTGAAAGATAAATCAGACACATTTCAATTAATGCACTTGGCATGACCAGTAAAATAACATTATGCTGTCAAATAATACATATTTCACATCCATCATTCACAGGTTTGCATGCAAAGCTAACTCAAACTATATCTAGATGAAGGATAAACTATGGAAGCAAGTCAAAGGGTACTTGAGTAAAAAAACACAATGAACAGGTACTGTGTGTATCCAGTGACTGTGTATTTTGTGCCAAATGATCATTAACTCATATTAATAATTTGTTATTTCAGCACTTTTTGCAATAAATTTATAATTGTGCAAATTTAAGTTCTGTTTATTTTCTTTTGCACATACAAATATCAGTATTGTAGGTATTTTTTATTATTCAGAAGTTGTTAATTTTTTTTAACAGATTCGATCTTTGTGAACTTGAACATGAGTGGAGGTCATCCAATTGCTTAAACTGGATAGCCCTTCATCATAGCAGGCTACAGGACAAATATCATCAGCCTAGGTATTTTGGTTATTCAGATGAAGTAGATTCATGTTTTAATACCTTTGACTCCTATGACCTTGAACATGTATCAAGGTCATTAATTTGAACAAACTTGATAGCCCTTCATCTAAGCATGCAACTGGTCAAATATTACTCTATGCCTCTTGGTTATACAGAAAAAATTGATCAAATGTTTCAGCATATTCATTTAAGCAAACATAATAGCCCTTCACTCCAGAATGATTCTAGCCAAATGTCATCACCCTTCACCTTTTGCTTATTGACAAGCAGCTGTTCACACATTTGACATTTGTGACCATGGAAGGGGCCTAGGTCATTCATTCAAACAAACGTTCTGAGATGCAAACACCTAAGTGATACAATCATCATTGTAAGGCTTTCAAGTCAACTTGCTACTGGACAAATATCATGATCCCAATTTTTTGGTCAGAAAGAAGTTGTGTACAGATTTTATCACATTTTACCTCTACGACCTAAAAAGAGGGTCAAGGTCATTAATTTGAGTGAACTTAGTAGTTCTTTATCTAAGCATATAGTGCTGGCCACATATCATCACTATTGATTAAGTTTTAACAAAAAAAAATCATTGCATTATGCAAAGAAATGTTTTAATACTTCAAGACCCTTTCCCTGTGACCTTTACAACAAATCAAGGTCATATTCATTCAAATAAAGCTGGTAACCTACTGCCCACCATCCCAAAGGCCAAATACTTTGACTATGGTTAAAAATCATTCATTTTGAACAAATGTGTTATCTTTTCATCCCAGCATACTTAAATGATCAAATTTCATCACCCCAAGCTTTTTGCAGGTTATTAACAGATTTTTTTTTAACATTTGACCCCTGTAAATTTTTAAAAAACTGACTGGAGCCATTGATCCTTCAAGTCTGCAAACATCTATTTTTTACACCCCCCCCCCCCCCCCGCGGGACTTTAAAAGTTGGTCAAGGTATTTCATTTGAAAAACTTGGGTCAAGTTGAATTATAAACTGATAAACATAGTACATCATGTACCTACTAAACCTAGTCGTTCATCCCTGACAATGAGATACAGTGACTTGTCAATTCATCCCCTTAAACCTGTTGATTATTGAAAAGTTTAAAAGAAAAACAGCAACGGAAGGACGGACGATTAGCTCACGTGGGCGCACGTGGCCCATCAGGCCAGGCGAGCTACAATTCTGCTGTAATTAATTATAAAATCAGTACTAAGTGCATTCTTTCCACAACAGCTAGTCTCGAACAATATATGTTATGTTTCACTCTTACCATTTCATTTGGTACCTTGTTATCATAGAAAAATCAACACCTGGAATATGCCCGTCAGCTTACAGACATCAGGCTCCTGTGACTACCGCGCTTGCCATAGTGTATAGTAAACTGTTGAACCGGAAACCGGTACGCCAAATTCGGATTTTTTTAAGTACATGGATTTTTTCTCTTACTCAAATGAAAATTTAAAGAAATGTATGGTCCGATTTAAAAAAAAAAACATTTCATAAATAAAAAACGGAAGAAACTGCATTATCCTTTTTTCAAACAGAGATGTATGTATGTCTCTGGTTCATATCATAATAAATATGAATATTTTTCTTCACTTTTACAAAGACCGTCTCGGACTTTTTAGAATAAAATATTATTTTGCTCATAACAAACATCATTTATTTTCTGTAATTTTACTTTAAATTAATGATATTTTCATGGTCACTTCTTTTTCACTGGTATTTACTGTCAACTATGACCAGTTTGAGATAATTCTTCCACATTCTTATTATAAATTGTTAAGGCTCAAATCATAACACATCTGTCGTCATCATTCTGCTTATAAAATCAAAACAATTAGATAATTCTCTCTGGTATTAAAAATAATTATTGTATAGGAGCATTCACATATTTTTGAAATTAACATGAAACGTCAGTGTACTCAAAAATTGACATTTTAAAGTTAAATGTTGGTGTATTTTATACTATAGTATTCTACAAATGTTCATTCATTTTTCATAAGAAAAAAACATCACCAACTATTCTTTTCTAGTTTAAGTTGATGTTTTAGGTAAGTGGTGCTATAAATAGAAAGTAACTTACTACCAGGGTCACGTAGATTCTTGAACAGGTGTAACTGTACCCGGACACTGGTATTTCGGCTAATATCTAGGATAAACAATCAATATATCATAATCAGAAAATCACGCACAGTTACATTTAAATTATTTTTGGGTCAATCGAGATATTGATTTGTATCAATGTGGAAATATTGATGTTTTATTAATGACTGCGATAAAATTAGAACACGCAAGTCTGTTGACCTATCATGAACTATGTAATTAGTGGTGGCCGGAAGGTGTGCTAATGTACAGAATTTAGTCATTGGCACTGTCTACACCCGATATAGATATTTATTAAATATAATTACTGTCAAGTCAACATAATCAGTTCGCTCTGACTTCATCATTAGAGTTATCATCAGAAATGGTGCATTTGGCATAGTTTATTTTTGATAAAACGCATAAAGACAGCACTGTCGTTATAAGTATATGTAATGTACCTGTAATATAACAAGTTAGTTTCATGAATGATACTACACTCTACAATACTCCTAGAGTCATTACTATCTCATGATCAATTCATCAAATATAGATACTCCATTTTCCTAAATTGTAAACCCCCTCTCCTGACCATCCACATCTTCCGAACACCCAGTTCCTATTCTTTTCGTGATACTATTCCATTGGAGTGTTTCTCCCCCCCCCCCCCCCCCCCCCCATCATATGCCTACTTTGTAATTTTTCCAGTATTATAAGTGATTGAGAGAGTAATTTTCAAATACTTACATACTTATTTTCTTGAAAACTCATTTTTTATAAGCACCAGTCTGGTTCAACTCATTGAAATGTATCATAGCATCTGTATTGCTCTATAGGACTAACAACACGTATGTATTGCTATATAGGACTAACAACACGTATGTATTGCTATGTAGGACTAACAACACGTATGTATTGCTCTGTAGGAGTAACAACACGTATGTATTGCTCTAGAGGACTAACAACACGTATGTATTTCTCTAGAGGACTAACAACACGTATGTATTTCTCTAGAGGACTAACATCACGTATGCATTGCTCTAGAGGACTAACAACACGTATGTATTTCTCTAGAGGACTAACAACACGTATGTATTGATCTAGAGGACTAACAACACGTATGTATTGATCTAGAGGACTAACAACACGTATGTATTGATCTAGAGGACTAACAACACGTATGTATTGCTGTAGAGGACTAACAACACGTATGTATTGCTCTGAGGACTAACAACACGTATGTATTGCTCTATAGGACTAACAACACGTATGTATTTCTCTAGAGGACTAACAACACGTATGTATTGCTATATAGGACTAACAACACGTATGTATTGCTCTATAGG